ATTTTTTTCCAGTTCTTTTTTGTATAGTTTGGTAGGGTTCTCTTTCAAAATAGCATATGTGTTAATATCACTCAACATTTTAACTAATTTCCTGTTCATAGTATTTTTTTTGATAATATAACTATCCCTCCCCCTTTATCCACGGGTCAGATGACTATATCCTTCCTTTTTCTTAATGTCTCTATACCCCTCTTAACTTCTAAAGTGTCTTTATACTTTTTGATGGGTAAACTTTGTTTGTTATAGGCCTCTCAGTGTTAATGAGGAGGTGGAGACTCAGCTCCTTGCACAGATCGAAAGGGCTGCAAGGGCTGGGACAATGATAATAATGGGGGATTTTAACTACCTGGAAATTGACTGGAGTAGTGGTACTACAGGTACAATTAAAGGGAAAAAAAATTAAACCTACTACAGGACAATTGTATGGTACAGTTCATAGAGACCCCAACTAGGAATGATGATCTGCTGGATTTCAAACCATGAGATTTTTATGAATGTCCATATAAAAGAACATCTGGGTAGCAGTGACTATGACATGATTTCATTTATTGTTAACAGCAAGCACATACGGGAAAAATAAAAATGCTCAATTTTAAGAGAGCTAATTTTCTAAGGCTAAGAGTTGCTCTCCAAGACTTAGACTTAGACTAGGAGGGAATATTGGTATCAATGAACACAACACAGAAATGGGAATTCTTCAAAAATACTGTATGTGAACACACTGCAAAATATATTCCCATGGGCAACAAGTTTAAAAGGCTAAAAATCAAACCTATGTGGCTTAGGGCCAAAGTTAAAAAAGCCCTAGATAAAAGAGCTTTTATTAAATATATAAAAATGGAGGAACGCTATCATGGTTTTAAACATTTCAAAGAATAGAACAGAATATGCAAAAAGAAAATAAAGGCCGCAAAAATTGAAAATGAACGAGAGATTGCAAAAGATAGCAGGACAAACCCTCAAAAAATTTTCAAATATATTAATAGTAAAAAGGTCTGATCCGAGCATGTAGGCCCTTTACAAAATGTTCTAGAGTGGGTGACTGGGGGGACAAAGAGAAGGCAAATTTATGAAATACCTTCTTCAACTATGTGTTTACAAAGGAGCAAGGGGAAACTCTTGTCCATAATGGGCATGGTATTGACACAGCTCTAGATGATCCACATTGGCTCACAATTGATATGATCCAAAAAATGTTAGTCAAAATAAAAGGTGAATAAAGCACCTGGGCCGGATGGCATACACCCACGGGTCCTTAAAGAATTGAGCTCTGTCATTTCAAAGCTATTGTTTCTCATTTTTAGGGACTCTTAATAACTGGCATAGTATCACTGGATTGGCGTAAGGCCAATGCGGTGCCAATATTTAAAAGGGGGTCAAAATCTTTACCAAGTAATTATAGACCTGTTAGTTTAGCTTCTATAGTTGGGAAGATACTGGAGAGTTTAATAAAAGGCCACATAGATGTGTTCTTGCTGGAAAAAATATTTTAAGCAACAGACAGCATGAATTCATGAAAGACAGAAGTTGTCAAACCAATCTGAATTTTTTTTTATGAGGAGGTGAGCAAAACCTTGAACAAAGGGGAGGTGGTGGACGTGGTATACTTTGAAAAAGCATTGGACACAGTTCCCCACACACAGCTAATGTGTAAAGTAAAGTCTACAGGCTTGGAAAAATCTGTATGTAAATGGCTAGAAAACTGGTAAAAGATCGTATTCAGAGAGTAGCGGTTAATGAGTCATACTCTCAATGGTTTAGGGTTTTCAGTGGTGTACCCTAAGGTCTAATGTTGGGACCCTTCCTTTTTAATATATATATAAATGATATAGGGTCTGAAAAACTGTCTATTAGGGGATTTACATCATTTTGGAGAGGTTGCCTCCTAATTCTAGTTGAATCCTACATACTACGGGGGTACAACTGGGGGGAATGAATGATGGAGAAGGATCTGGGGGTTCTGATAGATCACAAGCTTAATAATGGCATGCAATGCCAAGCTGAGGTTTCTAAGCGAGCAAAATCCTCTCTTGTATTAAAAGAGGTATAGACTCCAGAGAGAGATCGAATTTTACCCCTGTACAAATCATTAGTAAAACCTCATCTGGAATATGCAGTTCAGTTTTGGGCACCAATTCACAAAAAGAACATTGGGGAACTGGAGAAAGTACAGAGAAGGGCAACCAAACTGATAAGGGGCATGGAGCAGCTCAGCTATGAGGAAAGATTAGAGGAACTGAATTTATTCTCTCTTGAGAAGAGGAGATTTAGGGGGGATATGATCAACATGTACAAATACATCAGTGGTTCATATAGTGAACTCGGTGTAGAGCTCTTCACCCTGAGGTCATCACAGAGTACAAGGGGGCACTTTTTACGTCTTGAGGAAAAGAACTTTAATCTCCAAACATGGAAAGGTTTCATTACAGTGAGAGCTGTGAAAATGTGAAATAGACTCCCTCAAGAGTTGGTTCTGGCAGGCGCCATGGATTGCTGCTTAAAAAAGGCCTGGATTCTTTCCTGGATACACAGAATATAACTGGATACTAACATTTATAGGCAAAGTTGATTCAGGGAATATCTCGGGGGATCAGGAAGGAATTGTTTCCCCTGCAGGAGCAAATTAGTTCATGCTTTGCTGGGGTTTTTTTTTTTGCCTTCCTCTGGATCAACTGTGGGTATAGGATTATAACTTTTTTTTTTTAATGGTTGAACTGGATGGACTTTTGACTTTTTTCAGCCACACTAACTATGTAACTATCTAAATCCTCAATAACTAATTTCTTGAACATGTCTATATATCTATTATCTGCAGCCACTGAATTGAATGTAGACCTGTTTTTAAGATGTGTATGATACTCTCCTATTCTACCATCATTATGAGTGGGATTTTGAGCTTAATATTTTTTGATCTTAAGATTCCTTACTAATTTTTGGACGCTAACATAAGTTTCAAACTTATTAAGGCCTTTGGTTGGAGTGAATTTTAAACCCTTATCCTGAACCTGTATCTCTTCCTTAGTGAGTGATATTCCACTAAGGTAAAAGATATCTTCACCTATTATTGCCTTATTTTTTTTGTTGTGTTCTTCTTCCTCCCCTGCAACCTTTCTCTGTGTTCCCCCTTTCCTTTAACCTCCCTAGCGGTATTACTGAGTTTAGCTCGGGGTAAAGTTGCTGTACCACAAGCGGTAACCCTGAGCTACACTCGGGCTTACCATGCAGCGCTGCTCCGCGATCCCTTGATCACTTACCTTGTCCTGCGCTCCCGCGATGTCCCTCCTGCAGTGTTCTGGCAATATAATCCAGCGGATGCCGGCATCTGTCATCTGGGTTCCGTCCCCTGCGAGCGTCGGGACGTACGGGGGACGGAACAGCGGGAAATTTGAAAATGACAAAAAGTGACATTCACTAAAATCACTAAAATCACATAGTAAAACATTACTGTATCAAACCATTTCACATACATTTTGTCCTGAGTGCTTTGTTCTGTGCCCTGCCTGCATTTTTACTCTTCTTTCTGCCTGGAAACTGAGAAATGTCCATGGCGTCCAAAAAGCGTCCCTTTATGTCAAAATTGGTTTTAGACCAGCTAGAGAATAGCGATAGTAAATTAGAACTACTTGCAGAATTGAGTGATAATGATTTGTGGGGAAATTCGTCATCAGACACTGAAAACGATTTTGCGACTTTGCTCAGTGATGTGCGAACTTGGCGCACTATTTCAAATGTCAGTGTTTTTGGTTTGATTATATTATTGAATTAAATGTATTATTTATATTATTTTTTTATGATTATTTATTAAATTATAATTTATGATTTCGTGTTTCAAGTTTTATCCTACCCGGGATGTTTACTAGACTCTTGTTCGGACAGATTTCAGTGAGTTATTCCTAAAAATTGCAGACCTACAATAAAAAAAATACATATTTCCATGCAAAAAAATTTACTGCTTTGAGCACAGAAATATGGACATAATCAGACTGCTAGGGAGGTTAAATTGGTTCCATCCTAAAAAAGGAGTTGGAGTGGGGAATTCCAATTCCTCATGTGCTACAGGTAAATACCTATTATGTGTGGGGATCTGATATGGTCTATAAGGGTTTTTTTTAAATTGGGTCTCTGTGGTTTTGGTTTTTGATGTCCAAACCATTGGTATTTATTATTATATGGTACATAATTATTATAGTACCCTTGATGGGTTTTGTATAGGTTTCCTCTGCATGAGTTCTCTTGTTGTGGTCTTCCACCATATGGCTGATTATGTAGTGGTGTTTCTATATGGAACGTGAAGTGGTCTCCAATGATTGTTAGCCCCTGTTTGTATTTATATGGTGTATGTTCATCGTAATATTCCCTATAGGTGTGAGTGGCCCTATGCGGGTCTCTCCTGAGTGTGTGTTGCTCCGGGGTTTTAAAGCCCAAACTTATTTTTTTTTCTTTTGCAGTGAATCTATGGGTGTTTCTCTCTCTGGTGTTGAATTGGCTGAGCCTGTTTTTATTTATTGCTGACTAATTTTACTTGCAATTTAAATACCTGCTTCTGAGTTGGTGATCATGTAATACTCTAAGGTATTTTTTTTTTTTCTTATTTTTGTTCTCTAAATTCTTTTTTCTGCATATTTTTACTCAATTCATTCGTTAATCTCCCAAATTCAGCTTGATCTTTTAGTGGCTCCTATTTTCTCTTTAAATTCATTAGTAAGCGATTTTCCGCATTTTCCTTTGTTTTCCTTTTAATAAGGACGTGTATTTCATTGAAATAATAAATAATTAAAAACTATCATTAATAGGTACTTCTCATCTCAACTTTCTAGGGATCATTTTATCTTTAATGTATTTTTCCATGGTGACGAGTGCAGAGTCACAGCATGAGGAAGAAATGAAAAATTCGATTCGACTGATCGGCGAATTCGTGGACAATATTCGATTCGAGCCCGAATAAATTCGCTGTGAATTTAACTTAAAAAAGGGTGTTTCTTCTAGGCTTCAGAGAGACTTAATATTAGTGCAGAACACTGACCTTTAATTTAAATGCCCTTGGAGTCTGCTGGGGAAGAGAAATAATACTGTCAGTCAGTATGACAGCAGATGATGCCGTCGATCTTAGAATCACCGCAGCACTTTCACTAGGGGCCATTGCAGCAGCTATTTGGCCCGCAGTCACGGGGCCAAAACCAGAGTGGTGGAGCCACAGTGTGGTGGTGGATGGCAGCAGCAATGGGAGGCCATACAGCACCCTATGACAAAAATGGAAACCACCAGCAGTGTGAGGAGACCTGAAAGTGGCACATGGCAGAGTGTGGCGATAGAGACAGCAGCAATAGGGGAGGCCGGTACAGGGACCCATGACACTCTGGACCTGGCAGCAGCATGAGGAGGCGGTACACAGGGGCCCATGACAGATTAGGGGCCCTGCAGCAGCATGAGGAGGCCCGTACGTACGGGGCAACCCAAGTGTGCAGATTAACGGGCCATGGGCAGCAGCAATGGGAAGGCCGTACAGGGACCCATGACACACTCTGGACCTGGCAGCAGCATGAGGGGGGTACATGTATACAGGGGCCCATGGCAGATTACGGGCCCTGGCAGCAGCATGAGGAGGCCTCGGTACTGGGGGCCCTATGACACACTCTGGACCTGGCAGCAGCATGAGGGATGGCGGTACACAAGGGGGCGCATACAGATTACGAGCCTGGCAGCAGCAACTTGGACAGGAGGACGTTCAGATTAGGGGCCGTCAAGGGCTGCGTGCACTCGCAAACTGTTGTCTCTTGGAAACGGATTCCAAGAAAGACTGCTGAACACACCAGAGGAGTAGCAGGAGAGAAGTGAGCATCATGGCAACGAGTGCGCGAATGGAGACAACAAGCGACAACAGGGCCCATGACAGATTAGTGGCCTGGCAGCAGCATGAGGAGTCGGTACGGGGGGCCCATGGCAGATTAGGGGCCTGGCAGCAGCTATGGAGGCCCGTAATCTGCCAGCACCCTATGACAAAAAATGGAACCCCACCAGCAGTGTGTGAGGAGACCTGAAAGTGGCACATGGCAGAGTGTGGCGATGGAGACAGCAGCAATGGGAGGCCGTACAGGGACCCATGACACACTCTGGACCTTGGCAGCAGCATGAGGAGGCGGTATAGGGGCCCATGGCAGATTAGGGGCCTGTGCAGCAGCAGCTATGGGAGGCCCGTAATCTGCCAGCACCCTATGATACAAAAAATGAAACCCACACCAGCAGTGTGAGGAGACCTGAAAGTGGCACATGGCAGAGTGTGGCGATGGAGACAGCAGCAATGGGAGGCCGTACAGGGACCCATGACAGACTCTGGACTTGGCAGCAGCAGCATGAGGAGGCGGTATAGGGGCCCATGGCAGATTAGGGGCCTGGCAGCAGCTATGGGAGGCCCGTAATCTGCCAGCACCCTATGTCACAAAAAATGGAACACACCAGCAGTGTGTGAGGAGACCTGAAAGTGGCACATGCATGCAGAGGGCATGATTACATGGACGGATAAGATTTAGACTCACTTGAGCAGCAATGTCAGGAGCGGTACAGGGTTTTGAAATCCAGACTAATCCACGTTCCACCCTGATTCATTTCACAAACGTGAACGGATAAAGTACGGGCTCTCCAGCATGCCGATTTGGGGCAGCAGCTGTCGAGTCCCTCCACCGGAGTTGCAAAATACCCTCCTGAGAGCACTACACACCACAACGCTCCGATGACCTGAAAGTGACTACTGGCCGGGCATGACAGCCTTTCAAGGGCAAATTCAGCTAGTTGGGGCCAAAGTCAAGTTTCGTTGCCCAGTAGTCAGGGGATGTCTACCTCGGTTGGCAGCAGCATGGGGCTGTCCAAGTAGGGGCCTACAGCCTGTTGTTTGAGGCCTGCTCCAGGTCCACCTGAGCTGCTGCCGCTGCTGCCAAGCTGCACCCTAGTAGTTTCCTCAACACTGCGCTGGTGAAGAAAGCTACTCAAAGACATGGCAGAGTGTGAGGAGACAGCAGCTTTGCTGGGAGGCTTGCCAGAGGCTCCTACCACCCCACCCCTCCCCTGCTGCCATGGCAGGCGGAACGCGAGCGCACAGGGCCCACAGTGTCTGAGGATGGACGTTGGCTGGCAGACAGCTAGCAGAGACCGTAAGCTGACTACATAGGTGGTTTTTATAGTACAGTTAATTTTGAGGGCCTCCCTCTCAAGCAGGTGTGAAAAAGGCCACCATTTTTGAACGGTAGCGAGGGTCCAACAAGGTGGACAGCCAAAAGTCATCCCCTGTCTGATGGTTATTATTAGGGGCCCTGAAGGCGCTAGTGGCAAGCAAGCGAAGGAGCTAATGGGCCATTCACCCCTATGTGCCAAGGAAAAATTGAGGGACCCAGCTATGTGGACCCTGCCTCCATCTCCACAGCAATACTGCCTGACGGTGCTGAAATCAGCAGTCGTCTGGTCCTCTCCCTTCCTCCTCCTCTACCAGATGCTCCTGCTCATCCCTCCACTCCTGTCCGCTGAGTGGAAAAAAACCACCCATTTCACTCAATAATTCCTGAGCATGGCAATGTCCTCTGAGTCTCTACCTCCTCCTCACTTCTTCCTGTCCTGCCCCCACAGGGGTCCATGTGGCGTGTGAGAGATCTGAAAGTGCGCACACGTCTACCGCACCCTGACCAGCCATTGTTAACAGCATTTGTTCCAGGACGTGCAACAGAGGAATGACGTCGTTCATCACCCCATAGTCCTGCCGAGGATTCACAAATAGCGGGCCTCCTCAAAGGGCCTGAGCAAGCGCAGGGTCACGCATGAGCTGCCAATGGCTGACATCTAAGTTACACAGGGAGTGTACCTTTATCCGCTTTTAACATCAGGAAATCTGTGATGGCCGATTTTGCTGTTCGTAAAGGCGGTCTAACATATGTAGGGTTTGAATTCCACCTTGTTGCAACGTCACAGCATGAGGAGTCGGTAATAGGGGCCCATGGCAGATTAGGGGCCTGGCAGCAGCTATGGAGGCCCGTAATCTGCCAGCACCCTATGTCAAAAAATTCAACACACACCAGCAGTGTGAAGGAGACCTGAAAGTGGCACATGGCAGAGTGTGGCGATGGAGACAGCAGCAATGGGAGGCCGTACAGGGACCCATGACAGACTCTGGACTTGGCAGCAGCATGAGGAGGCGGTATATAGGGGCCCATGGCAGATTAGGGGCCTGGCAGGCAGCAGCTATAGGAGGCCCGTAATCTGCCAGCACCCTATGTCAAAAAATTCAACACACCAGCAGCATGTGAGGAGACCTGAAAGTGGCACATGGCAGAGTGTGGCGATGGAGACAGCAGCAATGGGAGCCGTACAGGGACCCATGACAGACTCTGGACTTGGCAGCAGCATGATGAGGCGGTATATAGGGGCCCATGGCAGATTAGGGGCCTGGCAGCAGCTATAGGAGGCCCGTAATCTGCCAGCACCCTATGTCAAAAAATTCAACACACCAGCAGTGTGTGAGGAGACCTGAAAGTGGCACATGCAGAGTGTGGGCGATGGAGACAGCAGCAATGGGAGGCCGTACAGGGACCCATGACAGACTCTGGACTTGGCAGCAGCATGAGGAGGCGGTATATAGGGGCCCATGGCAGATTAGGGGCCTGGCAGCAGCTATAGGAGGCCCGTAATCTGCCAGCACCCTATGTCAAAAAAGGAACACACCAGCAGTGTGAGGAGACCTGAAAGTGGCACATGCAGCAGAGTGTGGCGATGGAGACAGCAGCAATGGGAGGCCGTACAGGGACCCATGACAGACTCTGGACTTGGCAGCAGCATGAGGAGGCGGTATATATAGGGGCCCATGGCAGATTAGGGGCCTGGCAGCAGCTATGGGAGGCCCGTAATCTGCCAGCACCCTATGTCAAAAAATTAACACACCAGCAGTGTGTGAGGAGACCTGAAAGTGGCACATGGCAGAGAGTGTGGCGATGGAGACAGCAGCAATGGGAGGCCGTACAGGGACCCATGAGAGACTCTGGACCTGGCAGCAGCATGAGGAGGCGGTATATATAGGGGCCCATGGCAGATTAGGGGCCTGGCAGGCAGCAGCTATGGAGGCCCGTAATCTGCCAGCACCCTATGTCAAAAAATTCAACACACCAGCAGTGTGAGGAGACCTGAAAGTGGCACATGGCAGAGTGTGTGGCGATGGAGACAGCAGCAATGGGAGGCCGTACAGGGACCCATGACAGACTCTGGACTTGGCAGCAGCATGAGGAGGCGGTATATAGGGGCCCATGGCAGATTAGGGGCCTGGCAGCAGCTATGGAGGCGAGGCCCGTAATAATCTGCCAGCACCCTATGTCAAAAAAATTCAACACACCAGCAGTGTGTGAGGAGACCTGAAAGTGGCACATGGCAGCACAGAGTGTGGCGATGGAGACAGCAGCAATGGGAGGCCGTACAGGGACCCATGACAGACTCTGGACTTGGCAGCAGCATGAGAGAGGCGGTATATAGAGGGGCCCATGGCAGATTAGGGGCCTGGCAGCAGCTATGGGAGGCCCGTAATCTGCCAGCACCCTATGTCAAAAAAAAATTCAACACACCAGCAGTGTGTGAGGAGACCTGAAAGTGGCACATGGCAGAGTGTGGCGATGGAGACAGCAGCAATGGGAGGCCGTACAGGGACCCATGAGAGACTCTGGACTTGGCAGCAGCATGAGGAGCGGTATATATAGGGGCCCATGGCAGATTAGGGGCCTGGCAGCAGCTATGGGAGGCCCGTAATCTGCCAGCACCCTATGTCAAAAAAATGGAAAACACACCAGCAGTGTGAGGAGACCTGAAAGTGGCACATGGCAGAGTGTGGCGATGGAGAGACAGCAGCAATGGGAGGCCGTACAGGGACCCATGAGAGACTCTGGACTTGGCAGCAGCATGAGGAGGCGGTATATAGGGGCCCATGGCAGATTAGGGGGGCCTGGCAGCAGCTATAGGAGGCCCGTAATCTGCCAGCACCCTATGTCAAAAAATTCTAACACACCAGCAGTGTGTGAGGAGACCTGAAAGTGGCACATGCAGCAGAGTGTGGCGATGGAGACAGCAGCAATGGGAGGCCGTACAGGGACCCATGAGAGACTCTGGACCTGGCAGCAGCATGAGGAGGCGGTATATAGGGGGCCCATGGCAGATTAGGGGCCTGGCAGCAGCTATATCGGAGGCCCGTAATCTGCCAGCACCCTATGTCAAAAAATTGAAAACACACCAGCAGTGTGTGAGGAGACCTGAAAGTGGCACATGGCAGAGTGTGGCGATGGAGACAGCAGCAATGGGAGGCCGTACAGGGACCCATGAGAGACTCTGGACTTGGCAGCAGCATGAGGAGAGCGGTATATAGGGGCCCATGGCAGATTAGGGGCCTGGCAGCAGCTATGGGAGGCCCGTAATCTGCCAGCACCCTATGTCAAAAAATTTGGAACACACCAGCAGTGTGTGAGGAGACCTGAAAGTGGCACATGGCAGAGTGTGGCGATGGAGACAGCAGCAATGGGAGGCCGTACAGGGACCCATGACAGACTCTGGACCTGGCAGCAGCATGAGGAGGCGGTATATAGGGGCCCATGGCAGATTAGGGGCCTGGCAGCAGCTATGGGAGGCCCGTAATCTGCCAGCACCCTATGTCAAAAAATTGGAACACACCAGCAGTGTGTGAGGAGACCTGAAAGTGGCACATGGCAGAGTGTGGCGATGGAGACAGCAGCAATGGGAGGCCGTACAGGGACCCATGAGAGACTCTGGACTTGGCAGCAGCATGAGGAGGCGGTATATAGGGGCCCATGGCAGATTAGGGGCCTGGCAGCAGCTATGGGAGGCCCGTAATCTGCCAGCACCCTATGTCAAAAAATTTGAACACACCAGCAGTGTGTGAGGAGACCTGAAAGTGGCACATGGCAGAGTGTGGCGATGGAGACAGCAGCAATGGGAGGCCGTACAGGGACCCATGAGAGACTCTGGACCTGGCAGCAGCATGAGGAGGCGGTATAGGGGCCCATGGCAGATTAGGGGCCTGGCAGCAGCTATGGGAGGCCCGTAATCTGCCAGCACCCTATGTCAAAAAATTCAACACACCCAGTGTGTGAGGAGACCTGAAAGTGGCACACATGGCAGAGTGTGGCGATGGAGACAGCAGCAATGGGAGGACCGTACAGGGACCCATGAGAGACTCTGGACTGGCAGCAGCATGAGGAGGCGGTATATAGGGGCCCATGGCAGATTAGGGGCCTGGCAGCAGCTATGGGAGGCCCGTAATCTGCCAGCACCCTATGTCAAAAAATTGAACACACACACAGCAGTGTGTGAGGAGACCTGAAAGTGGCACATGGCAGAGTGTGGCGATGGAGACAGCAGCAATGGGGAGGCCGTACAGGGACCCATGAGAGAGACTCTGGACTTGGCAGCAGCATGAGGAGGCGGTATATAGGGGCCCATGGCAGATTAGGGGCCTGGCAGCAGCTATGGGAGGCCCGTAAATGCTGCCAGCACCCTATGACAAAAAATGGAAAACACACACCAGCAGTGTGTGAGGAGACCTGAAAGTGGCACATGTTTGGGGCATGATTCATGGCGGATTTAGTCAGTTGTGTCAGGAACTGGTGGTTTGAAATCCAGACTAATCCACGCCTGATTCATTTTCACAAACGTGAGTCTCTCCACACTTTGGGTGGACAGTCGTGTCCTCCGCGGAGTTACAATACCTCCTGCCGCACTAAACACGCGCTCCGATGCCACGCTACTGGCCGGGCATGACAGCCTTTCAAGGGCAAATTCAGCTAGTTGGGGCCAAAGGTCAAGTTTCGTTGCCCAGTAGTCAAGGGGATTGTCTACCTCGGTTGGCAGGGTGCTGTCCAAGTAGGCCCAAGCCTGTTGTTTGAGGTCCTGCTCCAGGTCCACCTGATGCTGCTGCTGCTGCTGCTGCTGCGGCTGGTTAGTAGTTTTCCTCACTGCGCTGGTGAAGAAAGCTACTCATCATCGACTGCAGACTGAGGCAGCCGCTGCTGGTGGAGCTGCCACTGCTCCTACCACCCCCACCCCTCCCCTGCTGCCATGGCAGCGGAACGCGAGCGCACAGGGCCCACAGTGTCTGAGGATGGACGTTGGCGCACAAAGGCAGAGACCAACTGACTACATAGGTGGTTTTTATAGTACGTTATTTTGGCCTCCCTCTCAGCAGGTGTGAAAAAGGCCACCATTTTTGAACGGTAGCGAGGGTCCAACAAGGTGGACAGCCAAAAGTCATCCCTCTGTCTGATGGTTATTATTCGGCTGTCGCTACGCAAGCAACCGAGCATGCTATGGGCCATTTGTGCCAAGGAATGCGAGGGACTCCCTGCCTCCATCTCCACAGCATACTGCCACGGTGCGTCTGGGTCCTCTGTCTCCTCCTCCTCCTCCTCTACCAGATGCTCCTGCTCCTCCACTCCTGTCCGCTGAGTGAAAAAACCACCCATTTCACTCAATAATTCCTGAGCACAAATGTCCTCCTCTACCTCCTCTCCTCTTCTTCCTGTCCTGCCCCCACAGGGGTCATGTGCGTTGAGATCTGTGCGCCACGTCTACCGCACCCTGACCAGCCATTGTTAACAGCATTTGTTCCAAGGACGTGCAACAGAGGAATGACGTCGTTCATCCCATAGTCCTGCCGACTCACGAATAGCGTGGCCTCCTCAAAGGGCCTGAGCAAGCGGCAGGTGTCACGCATGAGCTGCCAATGGCTGACATCGAAGTTACACAGGGGAGTACCTTTATCCGCTTGTAACATCAGGAAATCGTGATGATGGCCTTTCGCTGCTCGTAAAGGCGGTCTAACATGTGTAGGGTTGAATTCCACCTTGTTGCAACGTCGCAGATCAGGCGATGCTGTGGAATTCCGTTCTGCCGCTGCAGCTCAAGGAGGGTGTGCTTTGCGGTGTAGGAATGGCTGAAATGCATGCAAAGTTTACGTGACATTTTAAGGATGTCTTGCAGTGGGATGGTGGATTTTAGGAACCGCTTGACAACCAGATTGAACACGTGAGCCATGCATGGCGCATGGCACAACCTTCCTTGACGCAGAGCAGACACCATGTTCTTTCCGTTGTCGGTCAACATGGTTCCGATTTTCAGTTTGCGCGGAGACAGCCATCTGTCGATTTCTCTGTTCATTACACTCAGAAGTTCCTCCCCTGTGTGACTACGTTCGCCAAGGCATACCAGGTGCAGAACAGCGTGACACCGTTGCGCGCCCTGCACATGTGATATGCCGGTCGGGTAATGGGACTTGGCACGGGGGGTGGCGGCTGAGGACACGGCGGAAGAAGAGGTGGTAGAGGCGGACATCTTTGCCGGACCAAGGACGTGCAAACGTGGAGGCAAAAGCGGCGTGACCTGTCCAAGTTGCTGGTGCGGCTGTGACGGCACCACGTTCACCCAGTGGGCCGTAAATGACATGTACTGTCCCTGACCGTAGTTACAGCTCCACACGTCGGCGCTGCCGTGCACTTTGGCAGAGACCGACATGCTCAAAGACTGGCCCACCATCTCTTCTACATGTGAATGCAGGGCTGGCACTGCCTTTTGGCGAAGAAATGACGGCTTGGCACTCTCCACCGCGGCGCGGCACAAGCCATCATTTCTCTGAAAGGTGCTGAGTCCACCACTTGGAAAGGGAGGGACTGCAGCACCAGCAACTTGGACAGGAGGACGTTCAGCTTTTTGCACCGTCGGGTGCGTGCTCGCAAACTGTTGTCTCTTGGAAACGGATTCCAAGAAAGACTGCTGACGGAATCCGTGAAGAGGAGTAGCAGGAGAAGGAGCATCTGAACGAGCGGAAGATGCCAACGAGCGACAACTCCCCTCAGCAGAGGTGTTGGAGCCTTGACTGGCTGATGGAGGGCGATTGACGTCGGGTGACGGAGCAAGTAACGGAGCGGGTGATGGAGCGGGGGCTGGCGGGGGGCGGGCAGAACCGCCGTATCTTTATCACGGTTTTCCCAGGCCACCAAAATGGCGACGCTGCATATGCTGCCGCAACGCTGTAGTCCCAACATGGGCCCCCTGGCCACGCTTGACTTTCTGGCCACATAGTCGACATACGGCTACGTTTACTTCCTCGGGCGGCTTGACGAAAAATTGCCACACACACACCGCCGAGTAGGAAACTTTGCCCCCGATACTACTCCTCACTGGCTGACTGCTGCTTCCTCCGTGCACACCGGCACCACTACTGGCCGTGGTGGTAGGCTGCAGTGGAGCTGGTGCTCTACTCCGTGGCCGTTTGGCTCCACTGACACTGCTTCCACTGACACTGCTGCGACCCTGCTGCTGTCTCCTGGGCAAACCCACCGACTGTTTCGCTCACTGCCAAGCTGCCACCCTCTTCTCCTGATGATGCGGAAGAAATTGCCTGATGACGACGAGGCTGCCAAGTGCGATCAACCTCCTCATCATCAAGTAGGGTCTCCGCCTCACTACTAGCCCCCTCGGCTGCGTCTGGGTCGGGAAACAGACCTGTCTCTAGACCGGCTACCGGGCCACTCTCCTCGCCACTACTTCTTTGCCTGGCTGCTGAAAAGGCGGATGTCTCCCCCCGTTCCTGACCGCGCCCTCTGTTAGCTCTTCCTCACTGTACAGTGGGGCTGAGCCCACAGCATGCGATACTTCGCTTGGTGAGGGAACACCAAAGGACAGGGGCAGGTAGAGGACACGTGATTTCAGTGGGCTTGGTCCCGGGCCATGCCAACTAATGGTTGTGTCTGACGTACCCACCGACCGTTGGCTGTAGGTGTCAGAGAGGTGACCTGGGAAGAGGAAGACGACCGAGCCAACCAATCGATAACGGCAGGGTTGTCGGTGGAGACACGACCGCTGGATGACACCGGGAGCACTGGCCTCTGGCTGCGAATAGTGCTGCCTCGACCCCTTCCTCTGCTGCCACGTCTGCTCGCTCCTAAAACATTGCCTCCTCTGCCACTCCTCTGCATGTTGTCTGACATACTCTTTAATTCAACGATTCTGTGTCCCTGAGTAACAATTCTGTGTCCCTGAGTAACAATTCTGTGTCTGTCCCTGAGTAACAATTCTGTGGCCCTAAGTAACGGTTCTGTGTCCCTCAGTAACAATTCTGTGTCCCTCAGTAACAATTCTGTGTCTGTCCCTGAGTAACAATTATGTGGCCCTAAGTAACGTTTTCTGTGGCCCTCAGTAACAATTCTGTGTCCCCCTGAATTAACGTTTATGTGGCCCTAAGTAACGGTTCTGTGGCCCTCAGTAACGGTTTCTGTGGCCCTCAGTAACAATTCTGTGTCCCTGATTAACGTTTCTCTGTGTGGCCCTAAGTAACGGTTCTGTGGCCCTCAGTAACAATTCTGTGTCCCTGATTAACGTTTATGTGGCCCTAAGTAACGGTTCTGTGGCCCTCAGTAACAATTCTGTGTCCCTCAAGAAACAATTCTGTGTCTGTCCGTGAGTAACAATTCTGTGGCCCTAAGTAACGGTTCTGTGGCCCTAAGTAACAATTCTGTGTCCCTGATTAACGTTTATGTGGCCCTAAGTAACGGTTCTGTGGCCCTCAGTAACAATTCTGTGTCCCTGATTAACGTTTATGTGGCCCTAAGTAACGGTTCTGTGGACCTCAGTAACAATTCTGTGTACCTCAGTAACAATTCTGTGTCTGTCCCTGATTAACGTTTACTGTGGCCCTAAGTAACGGTTCTGTGGCCCTCAGTAACAATTCTGTGTACCTCAGTAACAATTCTGTGTCTGTCCCTGATTAACGTTTACGTGGCCCTAAGTAACGGTTCTGTGGCCCTCAGTAACAATTCTGTGTCCCTGATTAACGTTTCTGTGGCCCTAAGTAACGGTTCTGTGGCCCTCAGTAAAAATTCTGTGTCCCTCAAGAAACAATTCTGTGTCTGTCCGTGAGTAACAATTCTGTGGCCCTAAGTAACGGTTCTGTGGCCCTCAGTAACAATTCTGTGTCCCTGATTAACGTTTATGTGGCCCTAAGTAACGGTTC